GGTCATTGTATTCTTCACCGCCAGGCACTTGCAGAAAAAAAAGAAAAGAAAAAGAAAAAAGTGCCAGTTTCACTTAAGAATGTCCTTGATGAAGCAGTAAATATTAATTTTATTAAAGTTCAACCCTTGAGTACATTGTTATGGAATGAGATGTAGCACTTCTCATTAATTATGAAATGAGAGATGAGGGGAGCTCTTCTGCTGCAGATGCAGCACAATGATGGACTCCAGTGGAAACACTGCGTTCATTGTTGGAGTTGCAAGCTGAACTAGCCACTTTGTTTTTTCTCATAGTAGGGGCATGGCATGACGATATGAGCATATTTAAATTCAGGCTGCTGAGCAGAGGATGACCTGGAGGAAGAAGAATGGCGAGACCAGAAGACCAGTGAAAAGGCAGGTGCGATCCCCAGGCGAGGGATGATGCTGGCACCTTGGATGGGAATGGTGGCAGGGGGCAGAGTGACCTGGACAGACTTCAGAGCTATTTAGAAGGCAGCATCCATTAGAACTGGTAACTGAACACGTGGGCGGGGCTGGGTGGAGCCAAAGATGATACCCAGCTTATCTGGCCTGAGCAGCTCGGTGGATGGTGAAGCCCTCACTGAGTGGGAGGTTCAAAGAAGGAGGGTGGAAGGTTGTAAAAAAAACAATAAATGAAGCCATTTTATTTAAACAATAAACACCTGTATTACATGAGCTACGATAGGAGGAAGGATTTCTTTGCTGCTCCCGGCCTTGCTTTTCCTCAGCTGGAACCCCAGCTCCTGGCCCTCCAGCACAGAGCCTTCTGCATGGCCACGGCCACACAGGCCTGGTCTTGGAGCCCTGCGCGCAGGCGCTTGCCTGCTGGAACTAGACGACGGATGATTCTGGCATTCTTTTTCCTTTCCCCATGTTTCTCCTGAATTTTCTCTGATCGTTTATTGTTTAAATGGTCTTCCTCCTCAGGAACCTGCTTGGCCCCGTTGTTTCGGCCCAGGGGCGGCGCCTAGCGGGATTGTACCCCTGTCGTGTGGGGTGCTGTAATGAGCACCGTGCGGCTCTTTACTGGGGTCTTGGTGCGACCGGTTTGTTGCTGGATGTGTGGTAGACAGCACCAGTAATCCTTGTTTTGGGGGCACAACACTCCCAGCCCCAGGAGACGTTGGCCACGTCAGCCTCAAGGTGCGGCACTTCTTGCTGCCTCCCCGCACACAGACTGTGTGTATGCGAGGGGAGGGGGGTGGGGGGGAGGGGTTGGAGGGGGAGGCATGTTAGTGTTGGCAGCAGGGCGGCCCAGCTCATCTTTTCACTTCTTGTGGCGGGGCTTCCTCTTGCCCCCGGTCTCGTGTTGCTTGGGCCAGTTGTCCCAAGAGATGTCCATGGCTCAATGATGGCTGAGAACTAAATGGAGCCACTTTAAAACGGAGCCAGAGCTGCCGTGCCAGAGGAACGGTGGAACTGTGCCCGTCTTATGCCTCAAACCTTTGGAATGTTAAAACAGGGCAAGATAACCTTTAAATATATATATATATATATATATATATATATATATATATATATATATATATATATTTCAGAGAGGAAAGAAGAGGGAGAGAGAGACAGAAACACCACTGATGCAAGAGAATCACTGATTGGCTGCCTTCTGCAGGCCCCACGCCTGGACACACAGGCAACAAGTTCGTGACATGACTCGCTCTGGGCTCCCTCCTAGCTCTGCTTAACTTTTTCCCTTGACTTCTGCATTTTCACTTTGACATCTTCCCCTACAGGCAGAGGGTGGGGACCCCAGCCCCAGGCAGTGACGTTGGGGGCCGGCCCAGGTCTGGGGTGTGGAGTCTCTCTACCCAGCTGGCTTCCTGTCTCTTCACTTAAGTGCGTCTCTGCAAGAGTAACAAGCACTCTCCCCAGCGGGGTCGTGGTGGCAGAGCTCCCAGCCCTCACATAGGCACACCTGTAGGGGAGCGAGACTCAGAGGGGACTAAAGACACAGGCCCAGAGGTAAGATGGGCAGACAGCTTCATACCTTTCTGCGGGTCCGGGAAGGGGAGGAGAGCGCGGCGGCAGATGCGTTGGGATGTGCTGGACTCTCAGCTCTCCCACCGCAGGTCGGGCCACCTTCTCTTGCGTTTCATGAGCAGCCATCTCCCACTGGATCTGTGAGCTTCAAGAGGGACTATGCCAAACCCTCTCGGCATCCCCACCAGCCCAGCCCAGGGCCCGGGCCAGGGGCCAGAAGGTGCTCTCAGAGGTGTGTGGGCTCAGCCTGCAAAGTCAGAGAAGACCTGGGGACTTGAGGCCACCTCAGGCTGAGAAAAGCAGTGGAAGGCAACTAACTATGGAGAGAGGAGAAGACGAAGAGGGGGAGAGAGCGAAAAGAGAAAAAAGAGGGAAGGGGGAGGGGGAAAGGGAGAGAAAGAATATATTAAGGAAGGAGGGGAGGAGGCCTATAACAAACAAATGAGAAGGGGAAGCAAAGGGAAAAGCAATAAAAAATAATAATAAGAGACGTGGAATCTAGTCTAGGGGCAATTCTCCCAAAATCAATTTTCCCAGTGACACCATCACCAAGAAGTCACACCAGAAGTCACACTGGCGGCATTCGGATGGAAGCCGCACGATTGACGCAGCCTGTTAATCGTCTTTTCTGTTTATATGTATTTGATATGTTTGTCTACTTGTGTGTGTTTTTTAGGACGTCTTGAACGATATGTCTAAAGACTTCCCCTTTAACTAGCTTTAAAATGATGAGTGAAATGGAAAAGTTAAAATTCTCAAAAAGGATTGACTTTGAGCTCCACGTGTGACATGCTAGAAAGAGGAGAGAGACACATTTTTAGGCAAATACATCATGGGAGATATTGGCTCTAAGAGAATCGGCTCTAGGTGTCTTAGCTGTTCCCACAAAGCAGGCTAGGGGGCTAAGGAGGGATGCGCAGGCCCGCCCTGCCCCAGGCTTGGCCGAGTGTGGGGGGCCGGAGGTGAGACTCCTCAAGACAGGACGCCTTGTCCAACCCACAGCCTCAGGCCTTCTCTCCCCCAAGACCCCCTCGGCTCCGCCCTGTGCCCGGGGCCCTCCGCCTCCCCTTCTGAGACTGGACAGGGCCTCCTGGGACAGTCAGGTTCCTCCCCTTAGAAAAGCCCCTTCTCCCCAATTCAGAGGCTTCGCTCTGGGTGGACTACCTGCACCTGGATGCCCTGCTCCGCGGGGCACACGTTCAAGAGCTCGAGGCTGCGAGCAGGACCTGACGGGGACGATCACCACCTTTTCGTGTTTTGACAAATAAATTTGGGGCCCTTTCCACAAAATGGCCGCCTCGGCCTCCCTCCGCTGAGAGGTTTCCGAGAGGACGGGCCAGAAATCACTCGCCGGCTGGTTTCCCTCCCTTGGGGTGAGGACACTTTATCCGGAAGAGGTCAGCCTCAGAATAAAAGCTGCCCCACCACTGGTTCCAGGCGGAGCCTCTGGGCACCGGGGGCCTCTCCTGGCCACGGTGGGGGCAGGTGGCCCACCCGCCAGGGAGCTGGGGAGACCCAGGGCCTTGCCCAGCGTGGACACTGAGTAAAAGCCTATTGCATGAAGGAACTCTGCTGAGGTGGGTGCTGGGAGGAGGCAGGTGGGGCCTGGGTCTGTAAGGCTCTAAGGTTGATCTCTGTTCTGCACCTTTCGGGGGACAGGGGAAGGAGGGGGGCGCGGCTCCCCCACCGTGGGCGTCTGAGGCAAAGGAGAGGATGGCGGAGGTTGCAGCCACCGAACCACAGGGTCCCTCAGGGGGGTCGTGGCATCGAGGAAGGTTACACGACGCCAGTAAGCCGTGGAGAGGGTGTGCGGTGGGGGGCACATCCGTGGCTGGGCCAGCGGGGCTGACTTGGGGCCGCGGGGAGGAGATAAAAGTGCCTGTGGGACCACAGACTGTCACTGTGGTGAGGCCGTGCCCTCTTCCTCTCCCCAGCCTCGCTCCTCATCCCATCTCGGGGGGCCAGGCTGAGGGCAGCAGGAACCCCAAGGGCTCTTCGTGTGCGGTGCGTGTTGTGCTGCCGTTTTGGTCTCATCGCCCCCTGTTCTCTGTCTCCCTTTTGGTCGACTGTGCTGTGCACAGGCCTCGCCTCTCAGAATTTCTTCATCTCTCTCCCTCTGCCTCCACCTTGCTTGCACTCCCCTGGGCTTTGTGTGTGATCGTGGATTGTGCAGAGTGCAGCTGTGGCTTTAATGAGCTGCTCTGGGTCGCTCCTTACCTTCGGCTTCCCCTCCCATCCTCCCGCCATCAGCCCCTGGGGCGTCGGTGTGTTTGTCCCAATCTGTGTTTTTCCCTTTGTCCACCCTGCAGCCATCCCCCTTGCATCCGCCCCTCCGCTCCAGGCTGTGCTCTGCGGGCTCCCTTCAGATCAAAGCTTGTTGAAGCCTGCATTCCTGCCAAAGGCCTGGATGCCTGTTTACGGGCAAGAAATGGAACTGGAGCTCGGTGGCAGCTGGAATGGGGAGAGATGAAAAAGGAGAGGCAAGGGGCACTCCACGCAAAACCAGGAGAGTCAGAAATGCCTCCTGGGGTCTGAGGCGCAGAGGGAGAGAGACACACAGGCAGGGAGCTGCAGATGGATGCATCCACGTGGGGAGGCACAGATACAGAAACGCAGGGGATGCGAGCAGAGAGACACTGCAGGGGGCTGGGAGGTGGGGGCGAGAAGTGGGGTTGTGGAGGAGAGAGAGGCACCAGGATCTTGGGGACCAGCGAACCCTCCCAGCCTCTGGGGGTGGGGTGGGGGGAGGTGTACAGGATGCTGCAGTACTGGGGCGGAGCGTGTCTGGGGAGGCTGAGGATGTGGGAATCAAAGGCCAGCTCTCTGGGGTGGCAGCGGAAGCTCAAGGCACAAAAGCAAGCAGCAGCTGGAAACCCCTAGCCTCCTGCCTCAGCTGAGCTCTGGGGGCGGGTTGGGGCAGTGCAGGGAGCTGGGGGCAAGAGTGGGCCTCTGCACAGACCTAGGATCCTGGCGTGGGGAAGAAAAAATGACCACCATTTGGGGGAAGGTCAGGAATATCCCAGCTTCCTCAAGCACCGAAGCTGAATTTGGGCCCTGGGAAGAGATATCCCCTAGGAGACCCCTTCACTCTCTGCTCACCAAAGACACAGAGAGAGTCCTGTTTCCCTGGGATGAGAACCACTTCAGATGTGAGAGTCCCCCTGCCCCATGGTCTCACCCCAGCCTTCCCTTCAACACCTCCCTGCCCCAAGCTAACTTGTAAACAACTGCACCCGTGACCAGCCTCTTTCCTTTTCTAAACCCTCCTTCCTGACATCTTCCTATTTCCCTGGTTAAAAAAAAAAAAAAAATTCTATCTGTTAATTCACCGAAGGAGGAACACAGGAGGCCAGAACGGTGAGGGATTATGAATTTATTCGATCATCCGCACACCAAGTGGCTGAGCCCCAGATGGCTCCAGCACCCCGGTGATGGGAGTCAGCGGTTTTTTTTTATTCTAATATATTTTATTGATTTTTCACAGAGAGGAAGGAAGGGAGAGAGATAGAGAGTCAGAAACATCGATGAGAGAGAATCATCGATCAGCTGCCTCCTGCACATCCCCCACCGGGGATGTGCCCGCAACCCAGGCACATGCCCTCGACCGGAATCGAACCCGGGACCTCTCAGTCCGCAGGCCGATGCTCTATCCACTGAGCCAAACCGGTTTTGGCGGAGTCAGCGGTTTTTAAAGGACTCTAGGCGGGCTTTCTCTGGGCGGAGAATTCTCTGTGCAGGTCCGGATTTTGGGAAGTCTGGAGGGGAGAGAAGATGGTCTTAGCAAGTGGATTGTGGTCTCGGCAAGTGGAATGTCCACTGTGGAGTTGCCTAAAGGTCAGTTGTTGGATCAAACCTAACACTCCAGCCTTTTTGTTTTATGGAATAGGGACGAAGGTCATATATTCTGTAATTATTTCCTGCTGAGGCTGGACTTTGAGATCACAGGGCATTGGCCTTCGATTGTAGTCAGCTGGAATGTTGTGTGGATTCCTCCTGGTTGGAGGGGGGGGGGGTGGGGGGGTTGCGTGAGGGCCTTGAGTGATTTCATTAAGTTTGTCATAATTGACCACAATACCCTCAGTTCCTGCTGCCTCCCTCAGGGGTAGAATGGGCACGGGAATAGAAGAGGCTGTTGAGGAGGGTGGTCTTTGGGAGGCCCCAAGAGCAAGTGTCAGGTGGGAAAAGGCTGTTTTGGAGCTTGCATTCTTGGGACTTGGGCTCTCAGGAGCTGGGGAGAAGGTGGTTGCTGGTTAGGAGGGTCTTTTTGGGAATCTACTGCAGGTGAGGGAGAGCATGTGTCAGAGGGTGGAGGTCGGTGGTCTGCTGGGTCAAAAGTAGATTCAGAATCAGAAGTGTTAGGGGTAAGATGTTTTGTGTGAAGGAGAAAGCCCTGATGGGTAGAGCAGGACTGAGAGAGAGGAATGGGACTGAAGGTGGAAAAGGCCTGGACGTAGGGAATCCCTGACGATTTTCCATGGCAGTGACAGCGATTATGTTAAATTATGTCTGAAGGTCAGTTCCCAGGGGAGGGGGTATCGATTCCATTCTTTGATCAGACCTCACACTATCAGGCCCCTACCATGTGCTTGGCCCTGGGTAATGATTCTCTCAGGCAGGTCGAGTGCCTGGAGAGAGCTTTTTAAAAAATCTGCCCCTGCCCTGGCTGGTTGCTAGGTGGTTAGAGCATTGAACCTGAGGGGTCCCAGGTTCAATTCCTGGTCAGGGGCATGTTCCCCAGTCCCAGTGGGGGCACGTGGAGGAGGCAACCAGTCCATGTACCTCTCTCATGTTGATGTTCTCCCCCCCACCCCCACTTCCACTCTCTGAAAATCAGTGGAAAAAATTGGGTGAGGATTTTTTTAAAAGTCTCCTCCCAAACTGCATCAGAACCCCCAGCCCCCAGCCCCCCTCTTAACTCCCAAGTCTCCTTGAACAGCCCTGCCTCCTCTGCACACCTGGGGGTGGGAGGCCCTTCCCTTTTCTTTCATCTAATTCATGGTTTTCAGGTTTAAGTGTGTGTCAGTCACCTGGGGGTTTGTGAAAACAGACTGCTAGACCCAGCCCCAGCTTCTGATTCAGCACGTCTAGGTGGGGCCTGCGACTTCGCACGTCTAACCAGTTCCCACCTGCCGCTGCTGCCGCTGCGGATCTGGACTCACAGTGGAGAATCACTGCTCTAACCTAATGCTACCTCTTCCTCAAGGTCTATTCAGAACTTTTTTGCAGGTTTCCCCTCCTTCCCCCCACCCCCCACCTCCCACCCCAACCAGCGACCACAGAACCGGCTGCCGCTCTGTCATCGAATGCTGAAACATTGCCCTCCTGCGGTGCCCCGGGGAGGCGTGAGAGGGTCGGTCTGCTGGTGCACAGGGCTTTACCTTCTGCTCTTTCTCTCCCTGGCGCCTCACACGCGATCAGGCCCCAAGTCCTGGGAATCGCACCTTAAGTCAATCTCTTCTCCCACATCTCACCGCCACTGTCTCAGGCCTCCCCTTCCCTGGCAGGGCTGTTTCAACCCTGACTCCCGTGCTGGCCCTCCTCCCACTCATCTTTCACACAGCACATCCTCCTTGCTCAGGAGCCATGCTGGCCTGTCCAATTTTAGTATGTGCTGCTGAAGCCACCACGGTGGGCACTTGTGACAGCCTGTAGCTGCCGGTCCCGGTCCTAGGGTGGGGCCTGCGCCAGCGCCAGTGGAAAAAACATTCAGACCACTCACGAGCCATTTGCAAATCTAATCGTGTCCTTCTCTACATAAAATCCTCCACTGGCCTAGCCGATTTGGCTCAGTGGACAGAATGTCGGCCTGTGGACTGAAGGGTCCAGGGTTTGATTCCAGTCAAGGGCAAATGCCTGTGTTTCAGGCTCGATCCCCAATGGGGGGCTTGCAGGAGGCAGCCAATCAATGATTCTCTCTCATCATTGATGTTTCTATCTCTCTCCCTCTCCCTTCCGCTCTGAAATCAACAAAAAAAATTAAAAAAAAAAATCCTCTGCTGGCTCCCAGGGCACAGGGTCGGGTCCCAGCATCCCAGCATCCCAGCATGGCATTCAAAGACCTTCGTGACCTGGCGTAGCCCTGGTCTCAGTCCCCACCAATTTGCTACTTTCTCCGTCCTTTTCTGTTGGCAGCTGGCAGAGACCCCACCCCTGGCCTGGGCACAGCACTGTGTGGCACATGCTGGTGGGGGTCTGCTTAGAGACACCCACGTCCACGTCCCTGGCTTGGTTGTAGGTTCCTGAAGGGAGCGATTGCCTAGCGTCCCTGTATGCCCCAGGCCCAATAAATGCCCGCTACCTAATGATTAGTGTCTCCCTCAGGCTCTGCCCCTTCTTCGGGGGAAGACCCAGGTCCCTCCCTGCCTCAGCAAGGCCACCATGAACCAGGGAACTTCTTTTAGGCACCTGCTCCTGCTGCTGCAACTGGGTGAGTGCTCAGACTTGGGGTGTGGGTGCAGGTGGCCTGGGAGGAGGGGCTGACTGAGAAATGCAAAGGTGGGGGATGGGGTGGAGGTGGGGTAGTGATTGGCTCAAGGCCTGACTCCTTCTTTTCCACCTAGCACTGCTCCTAGAAGCCACTCAGGGGAGAGAAGTGGTGCTGGGTAAGGCAGGAGGCCAGGTGGAGCTGCCCTGCAAAGCTTCCGAGAAGAAGAGCATTCCATTCATCTGGAAAGATTCTGGAGGAATCACGATTGTGAAGACTTTCAAGAATTTAGATTTGTTTAAAGGTAGGGTTGCCCACTCTCCCTTCAGGAAGAAAGCATTGTGAATTGAGCATCCCTGGTGTCAGTGCTCAGCTCCTAGGAACCTCTGGGGTCCCAGAGGGTTCAGGGTGACAGAGACCCAGGTACATGTGTTAGTTTTTTTGTGTGTGTTTTTTTTTAATTAATTAATTAATTTATTTATTTATTTTTTTATTGCTTAAAGTATTACAAAGAGTATTACATATGTCTCCTTTCCCCCCGCCCTTGACAATGCCCTGGCCTCCCCTACCCCCCAGTGTCTTATGTCCATTGGTTATGCTCATATGCATGCATACAAGTCCTTTGATTGATCTCTTACCCAACCCCCTCCTGCCCTCCCACCCTCCCTGGCCTTCCTGCTGTAGTTTGACAGTCTGTTCGAGGCAGCTCTGCCTCTGTATCTATTTTTGTTCATAAGTTTATAATGGTCTTTATTATCCAGAAATGAGTGAGATCATGTGGTATTTTTCCTTCATTGACTGGCTTATTTCACTTAGCATAATGCTCTCCAGTTCCATCCATGCTGTTGCAAATGGTAAGAGTTCCTTCTTTTTTACAGCAGCATAGTATTCTGTAGTGTAGATGTACCACAGTTTTCTAATCCATTCATCTACAGATGGGCACTTAGGCTGTTTCCAGATCTTAGCTATGGTGAATTGTGCTGCTATGAACATAGGGGTGCATATATCCTTTCTGATTGGTGTTTCTGGTTTCCTGGGATATATTCCTAGAAGTGGGATCACAGGGTCAAATGGGAGTTCCATTTGTAGTTTTTTGAGGAAACTCACTCACATGTGTTAGTTTTAAGTGATAATTATAACATTGTTTTAAGGAGTTTTGTTTGTTTGTTTGTTTGTTTGTTTTATTTATTTTTTAATCCTCACCTGAGGATATGAGGATATGTTTATTGATTTTAGGGAGAGAGGGAGAGAAGTGAGAGAGAGAAAGAAACATCAATGTTAGAGAAATATCAGTTGGTTGCCTCTCTGAGGCCCCCTGACTAGGGATCAAACCCCCAACCTAGATATATGCCCTGATCAGGAATTGAACCCACAACCTTTTGGTGTATGGGATGATACTCCAACCAACTGAGACACCTGGGCCAGGGCTAGTTTTTTTTTTGGTGTGTGTGTGTGTGTGTGTTTTTTACAGTGGCCTTCTGTTTATGTCAAGTGATACTGGCTTCCTGTTTATTATAGTGATATAAAGTTTCCTTTTAAATGAATTTATTTAATTTTAAAAAGTTAATCCATTTATATATATATGTATGCATATTTCTGTTGATTTCAGAGAGGAAGGGAGAGGGAGAGATAGAAACATCAATGATGAGAGAGAATCATTGATTGGCTGCTTCCTGCACGCCCCCACTGGGGATGGAGCCCGCAACCCAGGCACATGCCCTTGCTCAGAATCGACCCTGGGACCCTTCAGTTTACAGGCTGATGCTCTATCCACTGAGCAAAACCAGCTAGGGCAAAAGTGAATCCATTTTAAAATCTTACATAAATAGGACAAGTAGCCGAAACCGGTTTGGCTCAATGGATAGAGCGTCGGCCTGCGGACTGAAAGGTCCCAGGTTCGATTCCAGTCAAGGGCATGTACCTGGGTTGCAAGCACATCCCCAGTAGGAGATGTGCAGGAGGCAGATGATCGGTGTTTCTCTCTCATCGATGTTTCTAACTCTCTATCTCTCTCCCTTCCTCTCTGTAAAAAATCAATAAAATATATTTAAAAAAAAATAGGACAAGTAGATTTGACCAAAATCATGTATAAGGTATGTGAATGGTTGAAGTCTGGGAAATATGGCTGCAGCCCAAGACTCTGATCTTACTAGAGAGGAAACTGTGGCCCTGAGAGGACGTGCCTGCCTGAGCTTATGTACCCAGTGAGTGGCAGCGCTGGGTTGGAGCTTTGGTTCTCCAACGTTCAGCCTAGGCTCCCCTGTGGAAAGCTCTCCTCAGTGCCCTCAGACCTGAATTGGCCACAGTGCACAGGAAACCGTGTTTGTTGCAAATGGACATCTCCCACCCTGGCCAGTGTGCTCAGTGATTAAGGTGTCCCTCAGTGCACCAAGGGGTCTCGGGTTTGATTCTGGGTCAAGGGTACATTCATGTATTGCAGGTTCGATTCCCAGCTCCTGTCAGGGTGCATTGGGAGACAACCAATCGATGTGTGTCTCTCACATCTCTCTCTCTCTCCTCCTCATCCTACTCCCTCCCCCTGCTCCCACTCTCTCTAAAAATCAATGGGAAAATACCCTCCTGTGAGGATTTTTTTTTGTCTCTGGTGCCTTCCATGGCAACTATTTTTTTTTATTTTTTTTAATTAAATCTTTATTGTTCAGATTATTACAGTTGTTCCTTTTTTTCCCCCCATAGCTCCCCTCCACCCAGTTCCCACCCCACCCTCCGCCCTTACTTCCCACCCACTGTCCTCATCCATAGGTGCACGATTTTTGTCCAGTCTCTTCCTGCATCCCCCTCACTCCCTTCCCCCCGAGAATAGTCAGTCCACTCCCTTTCTATGCCCCTGATTCTATTATAATCACCAGTTCATTCTGTTCATCAGATTATTTATTCACTTGATTTTTAGATTCACTTGTTGATAGATGTGTATTTGTTGTTCATAATTTGTATCTTTACCTTCTTCTTCTTCTTCCTCTTCTTAAAGGATACCTTTCAGCATTTCATTTAATACTGTTTTGGTGGTGATGAACTCCTTTAGCTTTTTCTTATCTGTGAAGCTCTTTATCTGACCTTCAATTCTGAATGATAGCTTTGCTGGATAAAGTAATCTTGGTTGTAGGTTCTTGGTATTCATCACTTTGAATATTTCTTGCCACTCCCTTCTGGCCTGCAAAGTTTCTGTTGAGAAATCAGCTGACAGTCATATGGGTACTCCCTTATAGGTAACTGACTGTCTTTCTCTTGCTGCTTTTAAGATTCTCTCTTTGTCTTTTGCTCTTGGCATTTTAATGATGATGTGTCTTGGTGTGGTCCTCTTTGGATTCCTTTTGTTTGGGGTTCTCTGCGTTTCCTGGACTTATAAGTCTATTTCTTTCACCAGGTAGGGGAAGTTTTCTGTCATTATTTCTTCAAATAGGTTTTCAATATCTTGCTCTCTCTCTTCTTCTGGCACCCCCATAATTCAGATATTGGTAAGCTTGAAGTTGTCCCAGAGGCTCCTTACACTATCTTCATATTTTTGGATTCTTTTTTCTTTTTGCTTTTCCGGTTGGGTGTTTTTTTGCTTCTTCGTATTTCAACTCTGACTTGATTCTTGCGATCCTCTAGTCTGCTGTTGGAAGTCTGTATAATATTCTTTATTTCAGTCAGTGTGTGCTTAATTTCTAGTTGGTCCTTTTTCACAACCTCGAGAGTCTCACTACACTTATTGAGGATCTCACTAAATTTATCGGCGGTCTCACTAGATTTCTTGAGTGTCTCACTAAGTTTATCGGTGGTTTCTAGAAAATTCTTGAAAAACCTTAAAAGTGTGGTTTTGAACTCTATATCCAGTAGTTTGCTTTCCTCCATTTCTGTCATTTGTGACCTGTTTCTTTGTCTCTGCATTTTTTATGCTTCCCTGTGTTGAGAGTGGCTTTCTGTGCTAGGTGTCCTACAGGGCCCAGTGGCTCAGCTTCCCCAATTTCCTGAGGTGGACACTTTTGGTGCACCCCTTTGTGGGCTTTATGCACAGTCTTGTTGTAGTTAAGCCTTGATTGTTGTAGGTATCACTGGGAGGAATTGACCTCCAGGCCAATTGGCTGTGAGAATCAGCTGTGTCTGCAGTGGGAGAACTTCTGTGCTGGAGACACCCTTCTGGGGCAAGACTTACTTCAGTGGGGCTTTGGTGCTTACTGAGTGTGTCCCTTATGGATCTGAGGAGTTGTAATCTGGATGGTCCCACTCTGACCACTGGGTACACTGGCTCTTGGATTGCTAAGGAGGTGCTAATTTGGCCTCTTCCTGAGGCTACCCAGCAGGAGCTCAGCTGTGAAGGAATGCAAGCTGCTGTGGGGCCTTGGGCCAGCTGCAGTTGGTTAGGTAATTTTCAGATTGCAAAGGGCCAGGCCTTTCATATGCAAAAGCCTGCGCACAGCTTGGGCGGGGCAGGGTCCCAGGGGATGAACAGGGCAGAGCAAGCAGCTATGGCTGCTCCTCAGTCTTGCCCTAAGAGGCCCCGCTTCTCAGTGTCCTGGTAATCATTGCAAGCACCTCTGAGAGAAAGCCGCCCTTGAGGTCCAACCAATGCTACACAGTCTAGCCCAGCCATGGGCAAACTACGGCCCACGGGCCGGATCCGGCCGGTTTGAAATGAATAATACTAAAAAAAAAAAAAAAAGACTGTACCCTTTTATGTAATGATGTTTAGCCCAGGGGTGGGCAAACTTTTTGACTTGAGGGCCACAATGGGTTCTTAAACTGGACCGGAGGGCCGGAACAAAAGCATGGATGGAGTGTTTGTGTGAACTAATATAAATTCAAAGTAAACATCATTACATAATAGGGTATGGTCTTTTTTTTCAATAGTTTTATTCATTTCAAACGGGCCCACGGGCCATAGTTTGCCCACGGCTGGTCTAGCCCCTCACCGTATGAGTCTGGGTCCCCAGAGACTTGCCGGGAACTGGAGTGGAGTTCAGACCAGTCGGGAGCCTGAGACTCCCTCCCGATTGAAAGACAACCGTGTCCTCAGCCGCCAGCCCTTTCCGCATGTGCCTCTGTACCGCTGCACTTTACTTCCACACCACACCTCCTCTGAGTCTCAGTGTGCTTTTCTCTTTCCTTCTAGTTGTAGAATTTCCACTCAGCCAGCCTTCCTGTGGTTCTGGATGATGTCTGTTTTATCTTTTAGTTGTATTTTTGAAGTGGTTATGCAAGGCAACAATTTCCGGTGTTTACCAATGCCGCCATCTTGGTTTCTGACCTCTTGTGAGGATTTTTAAAAAAGAAAGAAACGAACATCTCCCCTTCCAGTGCAGA